ATTGTACAGCTGCTTGCAACAATTTGTATCGTAAGAGGTGCTATACAAATAAACATGAATTGAACTGAATTGAAATTGTGATTCTTTTTTCTTCAGTATGTGTCAGAGGTTGTGATCGGGGCTCCGTACGCAGTAGGAAAAGATCTTCTGGATCACTTTAAGGTACAGTACTAAACCGTTTCACATTGTTCATTCATTGTAGAGAATAAAAATCTAGTTTTGGTATAGCCCGCTTCCAGACACATTAACACAATAAGAGGCTTTGAGTGTGAAGAGAATGTGGTTTGTGTGATTCACACACTACATTATCCACACACCGTGTGCGTGTGCGTGTGTGTGTGTGTGTGCGTGCGTGTGCGTGCGCGTGTGTGTGTGTTGTGTACAGCTCTGGGACAGCAGCCAGACTCAAAGGCTTTAGTGACTGAACACTATTTCAGCAATTCTGTGTTGTCCTACTTCGGGAACAATCTAGAGATTTACTGCTTGCCTCTTTAACCACAAACCCTCCGACAGTTACAGAGAGTTCAACCGTGCATTATAGTTTAACTAAAAAGAGTGCTTGGGACATTTTCTCTGTCCTGATGGGAAAAATACAAAGGACGCACAATATATTGGTGACATTATCAATATATTGGACACTTATTTTTGTTTTTGTAAATATAAATGTAGGCTTATTGCTTTTTATATATATATATATAATAACTTTATAATAATTGACAAAAAATATCTGACAATTATCTGATCTAAATGTGTCTCAACCAAGGTCATAGTTAACTAAAACTGAAACTAAAATTAAAAGCTTTAAAACATTTTATTCTAATTTTGTTTAACTTAGTTTGATTTAGTTTAAATCTGAAATGACATACACAACCACACCCCCCACCCACCCACACACACACACACACACATATATATATATATATATATATATATATATAACCAAAAACTACTAAATATGACAAAAATGCACAACAAAATTACTAATTAACTTTAAACGGAAAAAATAAAACCTGATTCATGTTCATTTTCTGGTTGTAGGTAGATCTGGTTTGTCATGGGAAAACCGAAGTGTTTCCTGACACAGACAGGACAGACCCTTACGCCGTAAGTAAAGTCTCCTAATATTCATCTCTCAATGATCTTCTCTTCCATAAAAACCCATTTTTTACCCATTGTCTCTCTTTGCAGGAGCCGAAGAAGAGAGGCATTTTCCGTATCCTGGACAGCAGCAACAATCTGACCACCGACGACATCATGCAGAGAATCATTGAGAACAGGTTTGTGGGACAATACGAGCAAAACGTGAAAACATGGCTCACGTGAAATTTAACGAACGTATGCAAATGAGCCGTGTCTCTCTTTGTCCCGGTAGGTTGCAGTTTGAGGCCAGGAACCAGAAGAAGGAAGCTAAAGAGATGGCCGTGATTGAGGCTTTGAAGCATAAAGAGGATTCGCTGAAGATCGAGGCGGCTCTAACGAATAATTAACCGAACTGTCCAAACCGAACAAATCAAGGGCTTCGTCGTAGAACCAAAATTACCCCCGGACTGTTATATAAACACCCCAAACGAACAAAATGCCTGAGCTGAGGCTGCTTTTAAGTGGACGTGGAGGAACACAGACTTGTTTTTTTATATCGTACGACTCTTGTTTGACGACAAAAGCACTTTGTTGTGTGTGGAGAGGTTTTATGATACCTATTAAATGGGTTGGAAGACATTCTCTCTGGATGGGAGGAACACTGAAAAACATTCAGCAACTACTTTTGTATTGTGTATGAAGGTTATGGGAGGATTGTGTCATTTCAGTGGTTTTTAAATTGTCGATCCATCCGCACATATTTGTAGTTGAGCAGAGAAGCGCTTTGTGAAGAAACACTTGATGTTGACTACATTAGCATGCATACTAGCTATATGCATGTTAGCTTATTCGGATTTTATGTTGGGATTTCTTTTTTATTTATTTTTTTATTTTGTGTTTTGTGTTTTATTTTCTGTGTCATGGTAATATATCCAGGTCACATTTTACCCCAAAATCAAAAGAGAAAAAAACATTTTTTTTCATAAAGAAATGTTCTTGTTTTATGACTATTAAGGCTTTTTATTTGCATTGTGATATTGTTTTTATTATTTCATTTCCATCTGTATTCTCATTACCATAATGTATCTGGACATTTATCTTCTTATTTTATTTTATTTTATTTTTTGTTTACAGTTCTCATTATTTTCAGTAGTGATTCTTATTAGATTCTCTTTATAGTAATTTTGTAATAGATATGTATAAATTAAGGATGTACTACCATGATATATAAATACTTTACAACTTAATATATGTTGTCCTTTTTTTAAATTATTATTATTGTTCTTTTTTCTATTTTGGTAGTGAGATTTTCACAAATGGGCTTATGGAAAAATAAAAAATGTGTCAAGATAGTATCACAATGCCAAAAAAAGTAAAAAGAAAAGAAAAGAAAAATCATTTAAATCATAATTTTTTTTTTTTTTTTTTTTTGTGGTGAAATGTCATCCTGACCATTTTTAACAGGTTTAACCCTGGCATATTTTATTCTAGTGGTGCTGTTGTGGTTTTACCTTTCTCATCATCACTGGACGTTTGATATGCATGTCGTGAAAAAAAAAAGTCACGGAACTACTCTCTGAAGTTTTGTCAACTATTGTTTCATACACTGTCCACAGTCACATATCTGGCATTTTAACCTGTTTTACCACTTTTATTTTCACTTTCTTACCTTTGTTTGTTGTGACATGATCAAAGTCACAGCCAAAGACTCTTTGAACTCGGGTGATTGATGTCACGCTTTTATTCATTTTAACATATAACAAATAATCTTTACAAACATCAGTCTCTAAACTAAGTTGATTGTTAAAAGTCAAACTTGCTTTTATCTCATATGTACTTTTATCTTGTTTTATGCGGTTTGTTGTCTGTTTTTGTTTTTAATGAATGTCAAAGCACCTTGCAATTGCAGCATGTTTTTAGTTTGTAACATTTCCTGCACATTTAGGGTGAATTGCTGTGAAAAAAACACTATGTTGAGTGACCAATTCTGAATGTGGTGTTAATGTCTTCAGACAATCTAGAATTTATCATCCCATGCATCATAAACCGTAAATCATCAAAACACATCCATTAATTGCAAATGAAATTGCAATAAAAAAGTATGAAAACAGCTTGTTCTGACTATTGTTTGACCATTATTGCATTAAGCGCATAAAAATCTAATTATTGAATCTAATTTAGTCAATGTGAAGATTATATAAACTTCATAAGAAATTTTCATGAAAAATTCATAATATTCTGTTTTCCTCCTCTGCTAATGATTATTTATGGATACGTGTTTGTGCTTTTAAACACAATATAAAGTATCTGGTTTATATTACTTAAATAAAACAAAGCTAAAACCATACCATGAAAAAAACAATTGTTACTTGGAAAAATATTAACTGAACTAAAAGACATATATAAAAACAAAAACTACTAAAAATTATGAAAACATAAAAATGACTAAAACTTACTAATACACACACACACATGACATTTTTTATAATGGGTTTATGTGAAGATTGTTTTAAGTTCACTTAAATTAGAAGTTTTTTTTTTTTTTAAGTCTATTAAATGTTAAAATTTATACCTCTCAGTCCCAATTATACTGTAATGTTGAATGGCTATAGTCGATGGTTAAATATGGGGGGGTTTTATAGAGACATCAGTAGTATTGCTGTCAGTGATACCGGCCTTCAGTCATAAAAAAAGATGCAATTAAACATTATAGTCTTTATGTTGTTTGTACATTAATTTGAAGATTGAATGTGAAATTATTGCAATATAAAAGTGTATTTAAAAACTTTAATGTTGCGTTGGATTAACAGCGATTAATTACAGAAAAAAATGTGATTTGTTTATTTTTTTTTAATCGATTGTCTATTAATAATATAACTTTCAACAGACTGCCATTACTTTTAGATATTTGTACTGGAAAAGGTTCATTTGTTGCAGTGCATGCACACTTTATGAATTTAAGACTCTGATTAAGGCCTTAGTTTGTGAAAAGGTGAATCAGGATGTTTTAAACCTGCAGAAACCCTGTCATGTTCGGTTAGAGGTTTCCTCTATTATTGCATCTGTTTCCCGTTGCTTCAGTCCCCTGAGCGTTTCTCTGTCTCGTCCAACATTGAGGACGTTCGTCTGCATACTAGGGCTGAGAAAATAAATCGATGCATCACGAATCAAGAAATGATTCGGCATCGATTCTGAGATTTTCCGAATGCATTCTTTCTCGAGTCGATTCTGAGCTTAGTTTTGAACAGCAGATGGCGCTGCATGCTTCAGAAACAGCCGTACTCTGCTTGTTTACAAATCCTCACACACACTTGAACCTAAAATAATCATATATCAGTGATAGTATAAAGTATCAGTGATACTGTAAATTGACATTTAAATACAAACATTTTAAACTGAATTTTAAGGCAGGTTTGCATTTGTGTGGTCACTGATTGTACAAAGAAAATGTTTATGGTTATTAATAAAAAAGAATAGTGTTTTATTGTTCATTTAAGCTGATACTTGATAAGTATTTTTTGACTGATTCCATGTTTTAGTTTTTGTTGTAGTCTATTAGATCAATATTAAATTAGATCAATATTTAAATGCTACTAAACTTACTATGCAATTTGCCATCATATTTTATTTAAATGTATTTAGATTTAATTGATTGATTTCATATTTTATTTTATTGTTTACATTGTATTTTATGGTGTTTGTTGTTGTTTGGTTGTAATTACTTTTAAAGTTTTTACTTTATTCTGTTTTTCAGATTTGATATAAATCTTTAATTAATTTGTTAATTTATTAATATTTATTTATTGCTTTATTTAATTTAATTGTATATTGAGTTACAGGGACTGGACTGCCAGCAACTCTCGCACAGCGCTTGAACAAAACCCATCTCAGGTGACAAAGTTCCACAAACGTTACGTCACTTCCTTCCTAAAGAAAGCGGACACCCCCAAAAGAGACGCTCTGTAGGCGACATACACCATTTAGTTTGCGCGTAATGAACAGGTAGAGCTGTGTTGTGGATTAGGAGTGTTTGCGCGGCGTCTGACAGTGTTTGCGTGAGATCTCAATGGACACAATGATCCCGAACCAGCAAGAGTGCTGAGCCTGACGAAATTAACCGGGAACAGTCGAATTTGAAACTTTTTTTCTCTTTCCTCCTGTACGATCGGGACCATCCCAGCCTCTCTCTCTCAGATTTGGAATCGGATCTTTCCAAAAACACACGCGCAATTGACTTTGCGCAATTGGTGTCATTTTACGCGTTAACCGGAGAGACTTCGGATAAGAGCGCGGGGGGATCTCGCTGGGATGTTTTTACGCGACTTTGAACAATCCTCTTCGGTTCCATCCGTGATGTTGGGATTTCTGCTGGATCTTTAGCTATGAGCTCTGGATATGGGTCTGTGTCTGGGCTCAGAGGTGACAGAGGAGGGAAAGAAGGCAAAGATCCACAGCTCGCAGATAGACAGAGATCTGTACGAGTACGCCAAGAGAGAGATGAACGTGGTGAAGATCCTCATGCTGGGTAAGAAGGTCCCATCCAGATGTTTGTTAATCTACCCATTGCTTTTAGTCGAAATAACATGGGTTTTGATGTTTACATGGGCCTGCTTGTGCATTAGAAACCTAATTTTGGGTATTTTAGTTTATTTGTAACTAAAAGATTGTGGGTTTGAACCCCAGTTTATTGGTTCAGCAACAGATATGGACTTGTGATTGAAAGTTATCAGTTTAAATAGCCGATCTGTGCTGGTAACTCTAAGAATGTAGGTTTAAACCCCAGATTTGGTTGGAAACCTACCTACAGGTTGTAGGTTTAAACCCCGGATTTGGGCAGAGATTGAAACTTAAGACTTGGGCAGGTAACAACATATTAGGGCTTGTACCTCCTACAAACCCCAAAATATTATGTTACCTGCTCAGATCTGAAGTTTTAGCTGATGTGTATAAAAGGTTGTAGGTTCAAGTCTCAGTTATGGGTTGAAACTAAAAGGTTGGTGGATTGAACCTCAGATCTGGTCAGTGAAATGGAAGGTTGTTGCTTTAAAATATCAGATGCGTGCAGTTAACTGAAAATTTGTGGGTTTGAAAATGAGAAATGGACTGATATCTGCAAGGCATTAGCTTCATATAAGATCTGTGCTGGTTTAAATTTCATATTTGTGCAGGTAACTTGAACCATTCTGGGTTTAAATTTGATATTTGTGCAGGTAACTGGACAGTTTGAACCCCTAGATCTGGGCTTGTAACTTAAAGATTGTGGGTTTGAATTTCACATTTGTGCATGGTAACTGAACCATTCTGGGTTTGAAAGTCAGATTTGTGCAGGTAACTAGACAGTTCTTGGTTCGAACCTCATATCTGGGTTGGTAATTAAAAGGTTGTGGGTTTGAATTTCATATTCGTGCAGGTAACTCAATGGCTCTAGGTTTGAAACTCAGATGAGGTCTGGTAACAAAGGTTGTGGGTTTGAATTTCACATTTGTGCAAGTAATTGAAGCATTTTGAGTTAAAACATCAGATTTGTGCAGGTAACTAGACAGTTATCGGTTTGAACCTCAGATCTGGGTGAGTAATTGAAAGGTTGTGGGTTCAAATTTCATATTTGTGCAGGTAACTGTAAAGTTCTTGGTTCGAACCTCACTTCTAGGCTGATAATTGAAAGGTTGTGGGTTCAGATTTCGTATTTGTGCAGGTAACTAAAAGATTCTGAGTTCCAACCTCAAATCTTGACTCATATCTGAAGCATGGCAGGTTTGAACCTCATATCTGAGCTGGTAACTTAAAGGTTGTGGGTTTGAATTTCACATTTGTGCAAGTAGCCTATTTGAAGCATTCTGAGTTAAAACATCAGATTTGTGCAGGTAACTGGACAGTTCTTGGTTCGAACCTCAGATCTGGGCTGGTAATTGAAAGGTTGTGGGTTCAAATTTCATATTTGTGCAGGTAACAGTAAAGTTTTGGGTTTGAACCTCTCATCTGGGCTAATAATTTAATGGCTGTGGGTTTTAATTTCATATTTGTGCAAGTAACTGTAAAGTTCTGGATTCAAACCTCACTTCTGGGCTAATAATTGAAAGGTTGTGAGTTCAAATTTCATATTTGTGCAGGTAACTGAAAGAGTTCCAACCTCAAATCTTGACTCATCTGAAGAGTGGCAGGTTTAAACCTCATATCTGGGCTGGTAACTGAAAGGTTGTGGGTTTGAACTTCAGGAAGAGTTGATTTATAAACAGTGAAGACTGTACTCTCGAACCAGACATTTATCTTGGGTTAATATAGGAGGACTGTACCATTTGTAGGTTCTGTTGTTAAAATTGTAAACTAAATGACTGATTAGTAATGTTGAATGACCTATTTTGATGTAGGTGCTGCTGAAAGTGGGAAAAGTACGCTGGTCAAACAGATGAAGATTATCCACAGTCATGGATTCACCAAACAAGAGCTAGCCAGTTTTAAGGTAAGACATTTTATGATGTTGATTTCACATACTCACTTGCAAGAGGTTAATTGCATTTAATAGTTTAACATTTGTTCTGTGCTATATTTTGTCTGTGCGCTCTGTAATTCCTCTGCCATCTGGGAAATCAAGCCGCTGTGTGTGTTTGGGGATTATTAAAAGTTTAAGGGGTCATTGGTTCAGCTGTAAAACAAGACCTCAGTTCAATGGAAGACTGGATCTTGCCTCAGCATGTTTTTTGTTCTGTTTGGAATAGAAAGCGGAAGGGGGAAGGAAACATATGGAAACATGAAACACAGAAAAGTTTTTAGGTTTTTAAACCATTAAAAATGGCCGACTTCCAAGAACATTTTCTCTATAGTTTGTTCGACAGCCAGTGTGCACTTCCTCTATAGTCTCATTGCACACCTTTTTTGACCTGTCACTCACAAGTGTTACCATGGCAACATAGTAAAGTTGCACTGCACGCTGGCTCCTTTAGAGTAACCTGTGGTCCATGTACGCCTTATCGCCATGGGAACAGAAAAGCGATTGATTTGCTCATTCATAGTAAACCGCAGCCAGCTGGATTCTCAACATGATCATCAACCCTGGTATCACTAAAACTGCAATTTTTGACTGTCACTTCGAGGCGAAACGTCATTTTTGGCAACAACAATAGTGTTATTCAATCCCCTTCTTCAGTTACCCAAAAGACCCTAGGCTAGGGGTAGGCAGCGTGAATAAAGTAATTTAATATCACCGTATATATGACGAACTTGTTATACTTTGCTTGAAATTCAATGGAAAAAAACATTAGTACTAGGCTACGAAAGGTTATTTTATGGCTATATATATAGACTTTACAGTTCAGCTTGCAAAAATAAAGACTTTTTATTTTGACGACTTCAAACTTTGTTGGGCCGAATACGGAGCCTTGCTGTATCCCGAACTCAAGATGTGAATTAAACACTGCTTGTCTACATTTACTACAAAATTATGCTATTGTATGACACACTTTACCTTTTGACTGACAGGTTAAAAGAAATGTACTAGGAGTTTGTTGACTTTAGAGAATGTGCATGTTGGCTGCAGAATGCATAGAAAAATGCTAACTAATGTTTTTTGAGAGAATGCTACCTTACTGAAACTTACCTCAGTATTTCATTCCCTCACACTTAAAGAGCAGGTCATATGGTATTTTAAAGTGTCCTGATATTGTGTTGGAGTCCCCTACAAAAGGTTTAAATGCATCTAAGGTCAGAAAACAGTGTAATTTTCTCAGAATATACATTTAATATTAGAGTCATTTGCCAGTGATTTCGAAACGATTAGTTCCAAGCAAGTTCGGAGCAAACCCCTCCCTTCCATAAGCCTACTCTGCTCTGATTGGTCAGCTGGCCAAGCCTGTTGTGATTGGCACAGAGAGGAGTCCTTGAGCAAGTTATCGAGCGCTACGATTGACAAAGCACTTTTACATAAAACAATAATATAGTGCTCCAGTCCGTTCTTATAATAATGACATAAAATACAAAAACACTTATGCAAGCAAATCGTGGCCACAGCTAAAGTTTAGCTGCTAAACTGTGAACACTTAAAACAATAATGGTGGATACGTTAGCCGAGTGCTAACGTGACTAACTAATGAAACAGTACAGTTTGTAAACCAAAATATGTCTACTGTAATGTTTGAAGAACGCCAGACAAAAGACGCTCTGTGTCTTAACTTTTACACAACAAAAGGTTCAAATTGTATTTCTGTGGTATCCTTGAACACAGCGTCTTCTCAACATGATGTAAACACACTAACTAGTGGAAGTTTTTGTGGGCAGGTCAGACTCGCGGGCAGGCGGGGATTATGCAAATGTGTTACCCAGTGACGTATACCAGTAACAGGCAAAAGATTCGAAAATATGTCGACTCGTTAAGGCGATTCAGAATCGACTCTCTCTTGAGAGACAATATCTTTATTTATCATGTACTTTTTTGATTAACAACTTTGCAGATTGTTTTCATTTAAGGATAGCTACGTTATAAACTGCAAAAGATATATTTTTCAAAAACCCATATGACCTGTTCTTTAATAAAAGCCACTTTGATCCTTTGGAATTCAGGAATTCTTCCATCCAGTATTTGTGCACTGATGCTTATCAAGCTAACGGAGTGTTAGCAAACATGTTTCTAGTCAGATCTTTCTCCAGTTGTTTTTTAAATCAGCTGATTTTGTCAAAAAATGGACGGTCAATCGTATATCCTGTGAAATGCCAGGTGCAGATCTGCATGTGTGCTTGCTTGGGTTAAACAGACTTTGTGTACCATGTTCTCCTCATTAAACCTTCCCTCAGGGTCTGTTTGTGTTAGCTACACTTTCCTGTGAGCCTGAATTAGATTGATGGACTGAGAATATGCAAGTGGTGTTTTGAAGTGCCTCAGGGAATGCTTTAAAACCTCAATGACAGCCTATTAGCTCCTGGCGAATGTAAAGGGATTGTCAGGACGGTTAACTAGATGACTAGTCATCAAGCAACCAGCTAGCTGGTTTTTAGTGGCAGGGGATGAATTTAAGAACCTGTTAGCATGCTAATAAACTGCAGTGAAGACTATGGTAGTTGCTTGCAAGAAAAAGTATGCTACCCTGTTTTTGTTACTGTACGATTGTTGCCCTGTGATGCGGTTTTATTGGTCTTTGTCCTGTATTTTGGTCTGATTTGTCACCCGTATGACAACACTGACCATCCCACAATGAAAGACCATGAACAAACCCTTTAAATAAACACTCACCGCAATGCACGCACCCTTTTTGGGAAGGAATCATCATATGTGCTATTTTTCGCCAGCAGAACTTCCATTATCTTTAAACAAAACAAGAAGTGTTGGAATGTGGGTGAGAAAGTCATAATATTGTATAGTGTCATGCATCAGAAATAAAATGCACAGTCAGAAGCTTGGGAGAAAGAAGTAAAGTAAGAAGTACTGTTTGTGTACACAACTTTTAAAAATACCAGAAGACAACAGCTAGCTAATTATTAATACTGAATTATAAACATTGTATTAAAATCATAATTTTAAGCAGTGTAAAAATCCACAAAATATAAAAGGCCTTTATAAAAATTAAGTAAATACAAACATTAATTATAATATATTATATTTAATCATATATATTAATATTTAAAAAGATATGTATTTAAACAGGATCATTTTATTCTGTGTCTGTGAGTTTTTGTTTTCCTTAATTTATTGATACTTAAAGACTTTATTTTTAAATAGACAGTGATTAGACTGTCTTCAGTTATGTACTTCGAAAAATCACCTTTCCAAAATGCAAAAGGAACTTGTTTCATAAAATGACACTCTAGCTGCATACGCAGCCTCTGCTGTCATGTGGATAGAGTTTCATGTACATTCTAAACTGACATTACTCCTTAGGGTTCTTTGTTGAAAAATTGGAGTTCAGAGATTGATGACTGTCATTTAGGCCTGTCGCAATAATCAATATATCGACTTATCGCGCAATATATGTACATGACCTCAATAAGTTTTGGTGACGCAATATATCGCCCATTATATTTACTTAAAAATTCATGTCACCATGTTTTGTACATTCCACTTGCGCCTGTGTCTTTTGCAGCTTCTCGTACATAACATGGTGTAGTCATGAGGCGCTAGTTCAAATTTAAAAAATGCTTCTACAAAAAGTTTCATCTGCAGATATGGCCTTGTTTAGGGATTTGTGCCTTTGTGCATACAGACATCTGACTGCTAAGTAGTGATTGTGTTTTTCAGCAATAGTGTGCACCCTTAATTTACAGAGAAAAGAAGGTCAGGGAAAAATCTGTAGATGGAAAAATCTCCATACAAGTTCTTTGTGCATTTTTCTTTTTTTCTACTTGTTACTTTGAACTTTTAGTTAGAAAATATTTATTTACTATTTATTCAAGTTTTTTTAAGGTATCTAATATTTTGATACTTAATTTCCATGATCTAAATATTCTTACAAATTTAAAGTTTGTTGTCATTTGGAAGTGTGTTGGCCTTCTTGCATTATTATGCTGTTACATTATGATTATATATTCAGTGGCATAAAAATGGTCTTTAAAATGACAATAATATCACTTATCGCAATTATTTCTGGGGCATTATATTGCACAACAAAAAGTTGTTATCGTGACAGGCCTACTGTCATTGTCCTACTTATTGTGAGATGTTAATTTTTTTCATCTGTTTGTGAAACAGGAAGAACAAAAAACTATGTCTCATAATAGCACTAGGATAACTTCTCCCATTGTTCTAGAGACAAAATAAACATTGCCCTAAAGCCAAAGGATAACATACAATAGCCTAATTTTATATTCAACGCAGACGAGCCGAGTTTGAGTCATGTCTACCTCAAGGCTCTGTATTCGGTCCATCAAAGTTTGATGTAAATTAAATGAAAAGTCTTTATTTTTGCAAGCTAAACCATAACTTTTATGCTGACCTCTTCTATGCCTGTGTTTTCTCTTAAAATGTGGTCAGTCACAGGGTTTCTATGTTTCTAATGTTCAAAAGTCCAGTTCCTGCTTCACCAGTTTTTGTTGGATGGGTTCATAAAGGGTCACGCTTTCACTCACACATGCATATGTTTGTACAGACCCATAATTATGGCTAGTTTTATATTGTACACATGCTTGCAGACATAAGCACAGTCTGTAATCAGACTGGCCTTGGTTGACTTGGATGTAGTGTCACACAAGGGCGGACCGTCGACTGTCGAAGTGAGGCCAGGGAAGGGTGTGGTGACCTGTGCTGTGTGTGTGTGAATCATAAATGCAAGTGAAAATGTGACGTGTTACAGGTAAAAAGAAGGGACTTGTCCTGGCCTGAATGTCGCAGGAGTGTCTTCTTCTTAATCCTTTCTTTTTGCTCACCATTGTACTAAACTGTCACTGCGGTCTTTAACCACACCGCAGTCTCTCTAACCCACAGGAAGTCAAGTTGTCTTTCCTGTTTCCTTCTTTTTTGTTTCTTACCTGACACCCGTCTCTCCATTTCTCCTTGTTCTCCCAAAGCTGCAACTTCAGCCTAAAGTCAAAATGACAATAATTTCTTATCATCAATGTTGAAAACAGTTGTGCTGCTTAAAATTTCTGTGGAAGCCGTCATTTACTTTTTTCAGGATTCTTTTGTAAATAGAAAGTTTAAAAGAATAAAATTTATTTGAAATACATTTTCCTGACACCTAAACGTTTGAATTGTAGTTTATATTGTTACATTAATAAAGATTACACATATAGGAGATGTTCACACATATACACACAAAACGATAAATGTTACATTACAGTGTTTTATCTAGTGTGTCCATCGGGTGGCTCTTTTTTTATGGCAAGACTTCACAAACCTCGCAGCTGGGTTTCATGCTTTCATTTCCTCGACCTCCCTCTGACTCTGTTTCTTTGATGAAGTGGCAAGTTCTCCTGTTACAAACGTGACATCAAGGAGTAATAGGAGACTTTGGAGTGCCGTTGTCGGTGGTCTAGAATTTGGGCTTGACCCAAACAAAGTTATTGTAGAATGTACAGTACTGTCTTTGACAAGATTCTGTTGAGCGCATAGATGCCTGGAATTTTCAGAATTTTACACGAGTTCTAGAATTTGTTGTTCTTTGATGTCTGTAAGTTCTATAACTCAAATTCCTGAAAAGAAACTGTGGATTCCTAGAATTCCTAGAATGGTTCAACAAAAAATTAGCTTTTTATAATTATTTACTCATCCAAGCCGAACCACTTTTCTTAGTTTCAAGGAACACACACAAAAAAAGATATTTTGAGGATTATGTAAGCTGCTTTTTCCATCTAGTAAAAGTGTATTGTGACTTTCAAGCTCCAATATGGACAAAAAGCACCATAAACCTGTAGAAATATTCTATATCACATGTGCTCTGTATTTCAGTTATTCTGAAGCCCATATGCTTATATTCAAATTCAGTTATAAAATATGATAATCAAGGATGTGACAGTTTAAAAATATCTGTGAATGTGTGAATTTTGAATTTGCTTTTATAGTTTCAGTTTTAGTAGTTTTATGTTCGTTTGGCATTTTTATTATCATTTCTGTTTAGCTTTCATTTTATTTTATTTTTTTATAATTTTAGTACATGAACTGAAACTTATTTTCAGGCGGTTGACAAGGCAACATTTCTCATTTTCTTTTATGTTTTGTAAGTGTGATATCTAATATTCATATTTTATTTTTTCAGCTTTATTTCAGCTATATTTTAATTTAAGAAAATGTATTTTTAGGTAGTTTTAGCAAATTTAGTAACTGAAACTTATTTTAGTTCAGTTGTTTGCCAAAGCAACATTTCAAATTTTTCTTTAAATAGTTGTGTTACATGTAATGTTTATATTTTATATTATTTCAGCTTTATTTCAATTAACAATGTTTTTTTAAATAGTTTTAGTACATTTATTATGTAAAAAAAATTCTAATTTTCTTTTTAGTTTTGTAAATGTAAGTTTTACATCGAATAATTTATCTCAGATAATCTTATTTTATTTCAGAACATGATTTTTAATAGTTTTAGTTGTAGTTGTCTATAACAACATTGGTGTGATTTGAAAATCCTTTGTTAAACTGTCACATTAAACAATTTCTTCTGACAGTTTTTAAGACCTTAAGAAGTGTTAAGTAGTAAATAAAGGATGAAGAGCGTGATTTATCCCTCTTTCTCTCCCTCCCTTTCTCTCTCGCTCTCTCTCTCACACACACACACACACACACACACACCGTGTGTGTGAAGCTCCCTACCATCTTTGCTCTTACCGCTTTCCACAAGAATAGTTTCATTGTTCTAACGTGTGTGATTCACTCCTGAACTTTACCTCCTGCATCGCTCTAGTGCACTTTGTGTGTGTTTGCAACAACAGGAAATCGATAAAAGCGCATCATATATCCGAACCGGGCCCGCGGCCCTTCATGAACACAGAAAGGCTTTTCAGCGTTCGCTCTTCCCTGGAATGTTCTGCGCCTCTGGTCTACAGCCCAGCAAACAAAAGCTGTTCAATAAAGGGCAGGAATGTGTTTGCTTTGGCCGGAGAGTCAGGGGCGGTAAAAGGGGAAGCATTTGAGCACAACACGAGTGGACGGGCGCTGAAAGTGTGAAAAGGGGAAGGTTTTGGGTGGCACACACGTGGACTGATTTTGTGAATTGTCAAAAGTCGAAATGAAATCAAAATGGCCAAAATTTACTTTCTTAAAATTAATTTCTGGTTTTACTGTGCATGATTATTCATTTTAATAATGCACAGTTCTTATACTTGCTATTACAGTTAGGTAGTTTTATGTTAATATTTTAATTCTTCAATTATGTTTCTAATATAAATTGTTATATATTTGTATATTATATATTTAAAGTATTTTGTGTATAAATAAATAATACTTATTATCTAATATTTGTTTTGATATTATTTTAATATTTGTGGTTTGTGTATATTATTGTACATTTTAAATAATATATAACAAAAATATTAAAATCAAAATATTGTAAAAAAAATATTTAAAATGTAAATATTACAATTATAAATGATCTATTATCATTTCAATAATTATGTTGTGTGTGTGTATATACACACTTTTTTAAATTAAGAAATACTATTATTATTATTATCTAATATTAAAAAATCTATTATTTCTAATATTTTTTATATTTATCATATATTTATCTTTTATAGATTTATCGTCCTCAATCGTTTTTTTAACTCAATGAAAATCCTATTTCACTTGCAAATATGTTGCAATATGTGTGTAAAACGGTTTATGAATGCCATTTTGTGTATGAAAAAGAAAATGTGGTGATTCAAAAACTATACAAATCATTCCCATGTCTGAATTGTTCTGACCAAAAAGAAATAATCAGCGTTCCATAATTCATAACGCACAATTGCATTGAGTTTCAGCCGAGCATTTGACCGTCACACAGCGGTGTCTGTCGCAGTAATGGCGCCCGGTGAAGCCACTTCCTGTCACTTAGGTGGACATGAGACAAAAAGGACCAATCAAGCAGAAATTCATAACGTCCCAGTGACAGGAAGTAGATTTGTTTGGTTAGATGCACACGCAAATGGCCTTGTTACGTTCTGTCACAGATCAATGCAAGGGTTCTTAGGTAACGCTTTTATTTTAGGAAGTTATTTGCGTTTGAAGGGACAAAGACAATGAGTCCTGCCAATCAGAAGAGAAAGAACTCCGAACTAATAAAATTAATATGATAAGAATGTGAACATCATGCTTTGTTCTTACTTATATGAAAAGAGATTATGATTTATATATCTTTTGTTTTTCCAGCCTGCAGTGTTGGATAACCTCTTGACCTCTATGAAGTTTGTCCTCCATGGAATGGGCGTCCTTCGCGTCAACCTTGCTAACAGCAAGAACAAGGTTTGAACCAGACTCTTTCCTTTCTGCTGTTGAACAATGCATTTATTTATTACCCAGAGTTAGGATTTCTCTAATAAAATAAGCTACTTTTTTTTAATTTGGATATTTATTTATTTATTTTGTAATATATAACAAATAATAATAATATTTTTTTAGTAATTTATAAAATAATATATTTTTTGGAATGTTTTAATAGAAACTTTGTTGTTTTTATAATCATTATTATTATTATTATTATTATTATTAAAAGTTTGTAGTTAATAATTAAAAAATGTTGTTGTTGATGATGTCTTCATTGTGTACCCATTTAGATACAGATTTAAACATGTATTACTAGATCTTGTTACCTAAGGTTAGGATTACTGTACTAAAAAAACCTATTTGTAAATTTATATTTAAATATTAGATACATTTTATATTTTAATTATGTATTATATTTTAATTATTTATTTAATTTA